CTACCAATTTCCCGACTTGCCAGAAAAAGCAACTGGTGTTTGTGTGTGTGTGAAGAGTTCTATAAATGCATTTTTTAAAACACGAATACTGAATACATTGAATGGTCCTGTAAGTTATAAAGAAATTACCATCAAACCAGAGTGTGAAAGCACAGGATTTGCACAGGATATGCAGTTCTTGCATCTCCAAGAAAAAAACAGGGGGATTTTCATACCTCATGGCTATAGCACTATGATCCTATGGAATCCTAGAATCTGAAATTCAAGGAGCACTAGAGCTGTCTGGCTAAGAGTCACCTAACTGCAAATCCAAGAATTCCATAGGATAGAATCAGGGAGTTAAAAATGACAGCATTATATCTGTGGAAGAGCGTCAGCTATCTGGTGATGTAAAAGAGACCTCTGTGCAAATACCTAGGGCAGCTACTGAGATCATAGCAACCACTACTAGTCATGATGTACCAACAGTCTAAGGTAGTATAGCTATGATATAAGTATGGTCTACCGGAATTACGGTTGACGCCATAGAGGGATCACAGAATTACAGTGGAGGACACAGAGGGAACATCTCTCTAATAATCTCTAGGTCCTCCAGTGCAATTTTATGATCAACTTCCAGCAGAAGTTGATCATAGAGTCATTCTGGAAGATCTAGAAATGTTCTCTCAGACTTTTAAAAACGTGATTTTAGTTCACAATTTTTCAGCTTCATGGAGGTCCACTGCCCAATGAATGTGGAGGGCTGACTGTACAAAGCATTTTTCCATATGCCAGGAGCAGAAACTGCATGTCACTTCATATTCTATTGAGGCGCAGCTCCCAACATTCTTCACCACTATCCAGGCTGGCTAGGACTATTGGGAATTGAAACACAACAACAACTGAAGGGTCACGTATTTCCCACCCTTCCTACAAGGTTCTTTAATAAAGTACACTGCAAATGAAAGAATGGGTGCAGTTTTTATTTGCTCCAATACTGGCTATTAATACCCTATAATTTTTAAGTTCTGAGACATAGGTTTACTTGGCTGAACCTTCCTAAGAATCATGGCTATACAGCACACACTTTGGCAATAACGGTCAGTTACTTGACTGCAACGGGTAGGGACCAGTGTGCTGCTAGCCAGAGATACTATAACAATGGGAAACATCTGTTCCTTAATAAGTATGCAGGAAATTTACATTTTCAAAAGCGATTTTCTCAGAATGTAACAGGCACTGCCAATTTTCCCCTCCAATTTTTAAAAACATATTTTACATTCTTGTGTGCCTGTTTGCTTAATTATTTTTTTCTCTTGAAAACAAACATGGTGAGTCAAATAAAGGTCGCCCATGAAGCATGAATGAAGTAATCATATGCCCCCAGTGAACATCACCAAGAAACAGCAAAATAAGGAGCCATGCAAGGGATAAAAATGGGTGAAAGTGGAGAAAGATAAATCACATATCAATGGAAAAAATAACCCTATAGTTTGTCGTGAAGTAATATTTGAATTCAAAGATATAGCCATGTTACTCTGGATCATTATTCAAAGGAATCTTGTAGAACCACTGAGAAAGAGATGATAAAATAAGCTTTCATAGACTTCAGTCTACTGCATCTGATGAAAGCTTATACTATCAACTTCTTTCTTTCAGTTATTCTCAAATGTGCTACAAGACCCTTTGGCCATTAATATGACAACTTTTGATGATAAACATTATTTTAAAATATTAAATTTATGGACATCTTTATCTATTTAATTAATTACATTCCAGAGGAACAGCAGAGTCCTTGCTTTTTACATACAGAATTTCACAGAGCACTATACGATACTTCCTAGTTGGACCAGAAAGAGGGGACACCTAGAAAGCTGACCACCAATGAATACCATAACTTGATATGTGTTTGTTTACTGTCTTGTATAAGCCTATAGATTTATAACATTTGCAATCACATTCTATCCCGTTTCTACAAAATTCCACACATATTTCTCTTACTATAGGCATATGTCTCCTGATATATGCATATGTACTCCCTTTGTGAAATGTTGGAGGAAAATTCTGAGAGTACCTTGGACCACGAGAAGATCAAACCAGTCTAGTGACTAAATTGATCTTGAAGGAACTGGGGATGGTGAAGGCCGACAGGGAGCTCTGGCGTGGGCTGGTCCGTGAGGTCATGAAGAGTTGGAAGCAACTGAACGAATAAACAACAACAATTCCATTTTAAAAACCAAAAAAAAAAAAATGCATCAAGAGGTTGACTGAAGACCAAAGAAGTTATCCCCATTCCTTGGTACAAGAGACTTTGCTACAACCCTATGAATATAGTTAAATGACAGAGCAGAAGGGTAGTATGCAAAAGACCCCAGCTTCCATCCCAAGAGAACTGCCAGTCAGGGAAAACACTGATGAACTACAGTTTGCACAATGCAAGCCATTTTCCTGTATTGCTTGTCTATATTCCCTGGCACCTTTAAATTTACTGATAAATTGACATACCGTGCATTAATGATGATGGTTCAATGCCCTTAAATCAAGGATAGAAAACCCATGGATCTCTCATACACATACCCCCAATTTTCAGCAGTGCATGCTAAGTTCTACATAAGGGGTGCCATTCTTCACTTGTCTATTTCTACCTTAAATGGTGATTCGGGGGCGGGGGGGACTACTGACTGAGTTGAAAAGGACTTCAGAGTAGAGTCTAGGTGCCAAAGGCATTTGGGAGTCATGGTTTTAAAAACAAAAAAGAATCCCACTATGCCTTCAGCAGACTACATTTGTACTCAAGAGGGCTTCTTAAAACAGGATGTAATGCAGGATGAGAAAGTGTTTGAGAGTAGGATGGGAGTCAAAAAGTCATCCTTGCTTGCCTAAGTTAATTCATTATGTGGTAGTTACAGGTATTTAATAACAATTGAATGTCCACTCCTACTGTTAAGTGGCATTGCAATTTGCCATGGAAAAGTCGGCCATAGTATGCAAAAGGAGACTAAAGGGAGCCTTAATCTCTACCTCTCTAGAAACAGATGGAAATAACAGGGAAGGTACAGCAGGAAAAGCAGTAAGAAAGTGTGAGTTGGTTCCACTAAGGATACTTTGCAGGAAGGAAAAAGGTGGCAGTGGGCAATGAAAAATGAAATGAACCAGGTGAGTTTTAATAACTGTTTTTAAATTGTTTTTTTTATCGGTGTTTAATTTTTTATGCTTTATGGTTAAATGTTCTTTTATGTTTGTTCTGGAACAGCTGTTCCAGGAGCTCCAGATTTATTTGCTGTGTTTAAATGTTTGTGTGCAATCCCATGCTTGGGATTTTGCAGCAGGGGGTTTCCTGTTATAATTTGCATTTATAGGGTAAGCCACCTGCCAGTTATAGTTAGGTTCCCTGGTCCCGCCCCTTTTTGAGTTTTGGAGGGAACAGGGGCCATTTTGAGTTAGTTCTCACAGAGAAGCCTTTCGCACAGGACATAGAAGGAAGTGGCTCCTGTAGAAAAGCTTCGTCTTTTACAGCTTGGCCGGGGTTATACAGCCCTACGGCTTGGCCAGGAGACATACAGCCACAGCTTGGCTGAGGGACTCCAGCCGGCCATCACAGCAACCTGAACTCCTTCTTTTTCCCTGGAGGTCTACAAAGCTCTGTTGGGGCAAGGGTCGCTCGCGGAAGCCAGACGCAGTTGGTACCGGGTGCAGGGGCTCCACGTCAACAGAGGCAAGTACAGACTGCCCAGATTAGAAGCTAGGATTTCCCCTTTAGTTAATTATAGTTAAGAAGACAGTGCCTGTTCCCTGCGGACAAGTTTGAGAGAACTGATACTTTAAAGCTCTACAATACCTGTTTGTTCCTTAATAAAAGAACTTTGTTGGACTTACTTTAAGCATTCTAAAGACTCTGTTTGGGGGAATCTAAGGGCCTTTATTCTGAGGCAGCCCCGGCGTCCCGTTGGGCACAGAGAATTTATGTCCTGTGTACAGTGTAATGCATAGGCCCAGCGTGCGACAGCACAATGTTTATGTTTCAATTTGGTTAGGTTATAATGTTGGAAAATGCTTTGAGTTCCCTTAGGAAGAGAAAAGAAGCATATAAATGTAGTAAATAAATACTAATTACAGCTACATTTTTGGCGAGTAATGGGCGCCTTCTGGGCAGACGGTGAAAAAACCCACCGGATAGTGCGCCACGAATCACCATATTCCAACGCGAAATAACATATTTCTCCCTTTAAAATATGTTATTCAATACTTCATGCCAAACGTATTTCCTGGCAGAGGTGCATTGGCTACAGGTATCATGAAATACTTGGAGGAAGGCCTGCATTCCCAGGATGGGAAGTAGACCCAGAAGCATGCCAATACTTATCTCAGCTCATGGATCTCAGGCCTTTCAAGACCAAGGAATCTTTATGGTTTTTGAGCTTGGGGTATGCTATGCTGTCACCACCGGTTCATCAGTCTCTGAATTTGTGTCCAAACCATGTGACAATGAGAAGATGAAAATAGAATAAATCTGTATCATGGCTCAATGCCCATAGATTTCCAGATACTAGAACAGGATCTCAATTTTTCCAAATTCGTAATGATAATTGAAGGGGAGTGATGCTTTACATGTAGGTAAGTAGAAGTATCATACAATTTTAGTAGTCTGGCATCATACATTGAATATTCATCTGTACAGTAATGCTAGCTAGCTATTTATTTATTTATTTATTTATTTATTTATTTATTTACCTTACCTTATTTATACCCTGCCTTTCTCTACCCCGGGGGGACTGAAGACAGCTTACAAATGGCACCTACACAGTGCCTCAAAACATACAAAATTCACCTAAAAATGGTTTGGATTAAAATTACAACATAATAAACATGATTAAAATACATTCAAGGTTAAAACACTCTATCCAGAGTTCAAGGTCTAAAGCCATTCCAGGATCAATTGCGCATAAATGCTCTTCTTATTTTTGTTCCCAGGTAATGTGATGCCTAGAGCCAGAAAGACACACATATTCATGTAAACAAACCTGACTGAGGATCCAGAGGACTGAAAAGAAGAAGCAGAAGGCATTCCTCCAACATCAGGCAAATTCAGGCGTTGGCTTCTGTCACAGTCTAGACTTGCTGTTTTGGGTGAGTGATCTGTAATGGGGGCCCAGTGTGTTTGTTCTTCTTCAACACACATTTTTTCTCCTGGGAGAAACAGCACAAAACAAATGTGAGCAAATTGGCTTATTTTTTACTGCAGCACACCTATTTTGTTCTGTACATGACTGAAAACATTATGCTTCTCTAGCTTGCACGGTACACAACCCTTGTAAACGTCATACTTGAAAACTATTTACTTACAGCTAGACTTCTACAACTGTTTCAGTTATTTCTCCCTGTTTCTTACCCTCCTCTCAATTTATCATTTTTAAACACTATAACCACACAAAGAAAAGAAATAAGAAATTACAAGCAATGGACTTCTCTCATGTCTGTTGGAGGATGAGAACAGCCCATTAAAGCAAGTGACATGTGTTTGTGAGAGAGATGAGCTTCCAGTCTCAAGATGACACTGCATCCTGGAAAAATGACAAAGTCTGCAAAAAACAAAAAACAAAAAACAGAAGAACTTGTTTCTTGTTGATGAACAGGAACAATCACTAAACAGAAAACTCATTAAATCTTTTGAAGTTTTAAAACTCAAATGTGAATTGAGTGCTTTTTGGTAAAGTAAATGCGGCAATTATTATTTGAAACCATATGTGTAGTACAATTAAAGTTCAAATGCTTGAATTAAAAGTGGAGTTGCATGTGTGAAAGGTAATTTTGCTCATCCAAACACAGATCCCAGTTTGTAGCCATAATCTCTTCATAGTGGTTTTGCAGGTCCCTTTTCACCAGGAATAACTTTTCTAGGGAGCTGTTGGGAACTGAAAGGCAAGAGAGCCCTTTCCATATTGGAAAATTATTATTTGTTGTAATAAAAGTCCTGTAATGCAAAACATTTTAATTCTCATTTGTATCTGTTGTGAACAACCACAAAGGTACATCTTGACAGAATTTGTTAAGGAAGTTCATTAGCAAACAGGGTAGCAGAAACATCATCAAGTGGCCCTTCTCCGCTTAAATGCCAAAAGGTGCAGCAAAAGAATGAATAATGGCCAGTGCGAATGCACAAAGAATGTATACTATATGTATTATATTATTAAACATGGTTCCATTTGAAAAGTTGCTGTGCATTCAGAGTACTGAGAATATAAAAGATCTTCCTCCATCTCGAACAGAAATGGGCAAACTTCGGACCTTCGGGTATTCTGGACTTCAACTTCTACAATTCTTAACTACCTGTAGCCATAATCTCTTCATAGTAGTTTTGCAGGTTTTGATCTACAAAGTCCTATATTGCTCCTGTCCAGGTTATCTGAAGGACCATATCTCATTCTATGAACCTGGAAGATATCTACAATCTACTATGGAAGGCCTTCTCTCGGTCTCACCACCTGCTCAAGCATGTCTGGTAGGAACACGGGAGAGCCACCTTTTTGGTGGCTGATCCCAGACTTTGGAATTTGGTCCCAAGAAAGACCAGAATGGCCCCATCCCTGCTGTCCTTCCACAAGCAAGTCAAGACCTTCTCAAAACAACATGTGTTTGAGAAGGCTTTGGGGAGGTTGGGAGGGATTGGGGGAGGGGGGGTGTGAGTTTTAAAGACAATTTTAGTGTATTCACTGTATTTTAATTCTGTTTTTACCACAATGATACTATTTAATTGTTTTTAAACTTTTGTACTGCACTTTTTAAACTGTTCTAGTGTGGATTGTTGGTTGCCTTGAGTCCCCACAGGACAAAGATGATGGTGGTGGTGGTGATGATGATGCAATAACAGAACTAGTATGATGTAGTAGCTTGGCTGCTGTCCAAGAGTATGTTGAACAACAAAGCTCACTGGGGTCCCAGTTACACTGCCAAATGATGCTGTTCCAAACTGCATTATATGGAAGTGTAGATAGGGCCTTAGTAACCCTGGACAAACTACTCTCTCTCAGCCAGAACTACACACCAAGTTGCTGGGTAGATAAAGTGGGAGGAGCCATCATACATGCCACATTGAACTCACTGGAGGAAAGGTGGGATATGGCTGCAATGACTAAAAAAATATATAGAAGATCTTTCACTAGGTGTGTTTCTCAAAAATACAACACATCTCCTTGCCTGGTGTTTGATGATATTGGCAGGATCCAAACATTTAAATATATACATTTCACCAGTGAGCTGAAACTATTATCATCAACATTGTGCTGAAGATTTTTCATTCTGAAAGCTGCTAATTCACTCTTTTAGTGAATTAGTGAATCACGATACAGAATGGGGGACAATGCCTGGCTCAAGAGCAGTATGTGTGAAAAAGATCTTGGAGTCCTCGTGGACAGCAAGTTAAACATGAGCCAACAATGTGATGTGGCAGCAAAAAAAGCCAATGGGATTTTGGCCTGCATCAATAAGAGCATAGTGTCTAGATCTAGGGAAGTAATGCTACCCCTCTATTCCGCTTTGGTTAGACCACACCTGGAATATTGTGTCCAATTCTGGGCACCACAATTCAAGAGAGATATTGACAAGCTGGAATGTGTCCAGAGGAGGGCGACTAAAATGATCAAGGGTCTGGAGAACAAGCCCTATGAGGAGAGGCTTAAGGAGCTGGGCATGTTTAGCCTGAAGAAGAGAAGACTGAGAGGAGATATGATAGTCATGTATAAATATGAGAGAGGAAGTCACAGGGAGGAGGGAGCAAGCTTGTTTTCTGCTTCCTTGGAGACTAGGACCCGGAACAATGGCTTCAAACTACAAGAGAGGAGATTCCATCTGAACACGAGGAAGAACTTCCTGACTGTGAGAGCCATTCAGCAGTGGAACTCTCTGCCCCGGAGTGTGGTGGAGGCTCCTTCTTTGGAAGCTTTTAAACAGAGGCTGGATGGCCATCTGTCAGGGGTGATTTGAATGCAATATTCCTGCTTCTTGGCAGGGGGTTAGACTGGATGGCCCATGAGGTCTCTTCCAACTCTTTGATTCTATGATTCTTTTGTTTTGTTTTTTTAAAGTTAAAGAATCTATCAGGAAAAGTATAGCTGATAAAGAATAATTCTTTGTAAGTTTGTAGCCTTCCATCTAGTAACTTTTTCAAAACACAAATGGAGCTAACTATTGCCTGACAGACTAAAAATGATAACTTTTAGCCTTGGAACCATTTCAAGCTTGCTTTGGCTTTGCAGGCAACACAAGATGTCAATGATGAAGTTCAAAAAGCATCTTGGTATTTCTATTTATTTTTATTCATGAGGGCTTTATTAAAGGAAACAGGTCAAGAGCCACTGACAGGTCAAAAAAGCAATCTTGTTAACTTGAGAAGGGCTATAATTTAGATAATTTAAATGAAGTCGATATCCAGCAAAAAAAGGAAATGGATATTTTCCAAAAATACAGTCTAAAGAGGCAGTTCCTCTCCATAAATGGGATGAAAACAGTAATCATTAATTCTTGTCCCTTGCGGTATAGAAAACATTGATTTCATTTCCAAAATTAGAAGCCATGGTTTATGTAATCATCTGAACTGGGGCATGGTTACCTTATTTGTTTTTCTTACATCTGTATAGCTTCTTTCCTCTACAGTGAACTCAAGGTAGTATATGCAAATTTCCTCTTATCTGCTTTCATACTTACAATATCTCTGTGAGGCATGTTAGGATAATGTATTGTTGAAGGCTTCCATCGCTGGGTTGTTGTAGATTTTTCGGGCTATATGGCCATGTTCTAGAAGCATTCTCTCCTGATGTTTCGCCTGCATCTATGGCAGGCATCCTCAGAGGTTGTGAGGATGACCTCGCAACCTCTGAGGATGCCTGCCATAGATGCAGGTGAAACATCAGGAGAGAATGCTTCTAGAACATGGCCAAACAACCCATGTTAGTATAAACGAAACTAACTGGCACAACCAAGTAATACCAGTCAATGTCGTGGCTGAGTGGGAACTTTAACTCGGATAATAAAATCCCAGGCTACCTATCTAACCCACTACTACTACCTTAACTTCCACAATGAATTATCAGGGATAAACTGAGAATCATGTGCCCCAGCTAGATGTTGTGGGATGGCAACTCGCCAGATTTCTCACTTTTGGCTTTGAGGGCTATGGTTTCTGAAAGTTGTATGCCGTCAACCACAGATAAGCTACATGACTCCCACACCACATTAGAATATAAATAACCATTCAATTAAAGTACATTTGTGACTCCAAGAACTTCCCTACTGTGTATGTACACTGACCTTTAGACCTGAAATAAAACAAGTTAATTTGCAATTACTACTGATCAACACAAAACATGAGAGCTTGATGTAATGAGAACATCCTGCGTGCCTCACAGTCTTAAAACCTGCCTATTAAAGTGCAGCATATGTTTCAGGACCATAAGCAAATATTCCATAGGCAGAGAACAGACACGCTAACACAATTCAAGGGCTGATAAGACATACTCATATTTGAAAAAGAAAATAGATTCTTATGTAACATTATCAATGGCTGATATCTATATTAAAAGAACCTCATAAGTGCAATACTGAACCAGATGCCACCTTCCTGACTGCTTTGAGTATGACTACATGAATATACATGAATGGTTTTAACTGGTGTGTTTTTAACAACTGTTTATTTAATGTTGTTTTAATGAATTTGTTGAATGTTTTTATGATTGTGATGGCACCAAATGGTGCTTGCTGTGAGGCCGCCCTGAGTCCCCCCTCGGGGGTGAGAAGGGCAGGATACAAGTGTATGAAATAAATAAATCAATAAATAAAATACAAAATATTATTTGCCGTAAGTTGAATAGATGTATTATATATCTAACCTTATGAAAATGAAACCATTCTATGAGGATTCTTTAATATAAAAAAATTATACCCATTAGTATCTGAATGAATTAATTAATCAGCATTACATACCAATCTCTATAGATAGTTCTTCAGTAGTTGTTTCTTTCTCTTGTGGTTCTTCTTTTATATTCCCTTTACTTGCATGTTTCTTTTGCTTATTCATTTGGTCAATTAAAAGTTGAAATTCAGCTTTGTGTTTCTTCCCTAAAAAACAAAATTAAATTCATATGCAAGGAGCAAGCCACAACTTAAGATATTACCATGTTGAACACAGACTTGGAGAGCAGTATGAAGTGTCTAATGTCTGAATCTAGTTTCTGGCACGGTTTCGCTCACACTGATTTACTTTAATTTATCTTCACAAACTATCTATGAATGTTATCAGTCTCACCCAGCATTATAAACTATGTATTTTAAGTAAGCACTGGTCTATAGAAACAACTCCTTTGAAGCACAAAAGGCAGTTTCTGTATAATTGGGAACAGAAGCATTTGCTTTCCCTTTCGAAGTAATCAGTATTCCACAGGTGGCTAGCACGATACCTACAAGAAGCAGGCCAAAATAAGTTTTTGCTGGCTAGTAATTTTTGTGGACCCATTTGCAAATCTACACAAAAGTAGGAAAAGTTCTACTATGAATATGGAACAAGAAAACAATTTATCATACAACACCTGGATGCACACTGATACACACAGATTATTGTACACATTTCACTTATTACTACATACTAGTGTTACTCCTGTTCTCTGTGTAAAAACAATTAGAATACAGTAAGTGTTCGCCATTTAAGATCGTCCGGGGAGGCCCTGTTCTCGATCCCGCCAGCCTCACAAGCACAGCTGGTGGGGACGAGAGACAGGGCCTTCTCAGTGGTGGCCCCTCAGCTGTGGAACGCCCTTCCCGCAGACATTAGATCGGCCCCCTCCCTGCTGGCGTTCAGGAGAAGAGTATAGACCTGGCTCTTTGAACAGGCGTTTAATTAAGCAGTGCAACCAACTGATTGATTTTGGAACTTGGAATAATGGACGAGGAGATCGGATTATGACTTTACTGATGAGACGTGATGGATTAGTTATATAGATGTATAGATGTTATATTGATGTACCGTTATATTGTTATATCGATGTAGTTGCTTTAGTTACTGTTTTAAATACTAATGTTGTGCACCTTGTATATTGTCCTGGCTGTAAACCGCACTGAGTCGCCTACGGGCTGAGAGAGTGCGGTATACAAGTAAAGTAAATAAATAAATAAATAAATTTTTGATGGTTTAGGTCTGCAAATCCAGACTCAGAGAAAAAAAGCTATATTTGTAAAACACTTCAGAGTCAAAGCTGGCAAAAAGCTGGCTATTATGATCATAATTACTATTAATGCAAGGAGAGACTGAGACAGAGGAGGAGGAACATTTTCTCTTACCTATCAAAGAGCCATATGCTGTGAAAGAGGGGCCAAATAACATGAACGTGGGTTGGCCCTTCCATTTCCTCAAATACAGGAACATGGAAATCTTTTGAGAAGGCCCACTAGGGGAACAACCCTCACTATCATAAGGCCAGCCACAGACTCAGAGTTGGAAGAGACCAGAGGGACCATCCAGTTCAACTCCCTGCCAATCAAATTTCGCCTAACATACAGACATCCAACTTGTTTAAAAACCTTTGAAGAAGGTGATTCTACCACACTCCAAGAATGTGACAGCTTGATGCTCTGGTTGGAAAAAAGGGTATCTCAATTGAAAAAAGGCATTTATTTTTTATATTTTTACTATTTTAAGTGAGGAAAATTTGAAAAGAATAAGGAGAGAGAATAAGGACTTCAAAAAGAGTATGAGGCAAGCAGAGGACCAGTTCTGTCCCTATGACAAATATGTACACAATTTCCTTGAGAGAGGGGCAGAACATCCTGAATGTGGGGCATACCAAAGCTCATCTAATTAAGTGGCAAGCTAGAGCCAAATTTGAGTTATTGTCCCAGTATCTGTTGGAGTACACGCCTGGTGTAGACACCCTCAGCCATGGCAAAGACATCTAGTTTGTAGTATCTGATGAATATTGAGGAAAATTTCCAAGTTATCACCCTCCAGATCTCAGCAAGTAGTCATTGATTGAGAGACCAATTAAGATCACTGCATCTCATGTAGAAAGGACATTATTAGTCCTGATTATGATACTCCCATGAACTGGTAGCAGGTGTCAATGCAATCCTGAACCCATCTACTTTGGGTAGATGTGGAGATCTTCTTCCCCTAGGAATGATGGTTGTAGGAGCCAATGAGGTAATCTGTGTGACATATGTTGCTTGTTCCCTTCAGAGATATCTTGATGGTGCTTGTGTAAAAAATATGTGGGTCCTGGAGTAAACCAAGCCTGAACGCTCCCTAAAAGCCATGATGACTAAACAAAGGTTGTTGTACTTTGACCATATCATGAGAAGATATGACTCAGTATTTATGTATTTACTTATTTATTTATTTATCATGTCATCCACAACCAGAACATTGTATTACATTTCTAACAGAACAAAACAAACAAACAGATTAAAAAAAACACAAATTTTGCAAACTTGGTAGCTGATTAAATGTCCTTTGACCAGTATCTGGCCACTTGGAGTGCCTCTGGTGTTGCCGCAAGAAGGTCCTCCATCGTGCATGTGGCAGGGCTCAGGTTGCATTGCAGCAGGTAGTCAGTGGGGGACATGAGAGAAGCCTCCTCGCAGGATTGCGGGACATCCGGGCGTCCCCTGGGCAATGTCTTCGTAGACGGCTGATTCTCTCGATCCAGAAGCAACCAGAGATGACTCAGTAAAAAAGACAACAATGATTGGTAATGTAGAAGGCATCAGGAAAAGATGAAAATACTAGGAGAGGCCACACCACTAGTTCTGCAAGACCTGAGCAGAGGTGCTGACGATAGAATGATCTGGAGGTTTTATATAAAGATCCAATCTTTATATAGAAATGAGACATAGACTTTTCAAAAGAAAATTTTCAAAAGAAAAAATGGCAATTGGCTATAGAAGACTCTTTACCACAAAGGTGTACAAGGAGAGATTCAGAGACATAAGACAAAACTACAGTCAGAAATATGGTCAGGAATAAGACCTTCATTCCAGTTGCACTCTTTTAACTATAGAAGTATCCAAGGAAATGCATGCCCAACAACTTTTCCGTATGGTGAACCAAAATGATAAACCAAATAGGGATCTTTACTTGGAACAACCTCCAAAATTTCATATTCCCGAGAAGAAACTCTTTGTATGCAAATTGAATAAGAACATTGATTACAGACTGCCAGAGAATGGACTGGGGAACTAAATCAGCTTGTTATTAAAGAAGAACTTATTTCAGACCCTGTTGGCAAATGTGTATACAAATAGTTCAGAAGTGATCAACAGATTTATATCATGAGTTATGTTGATGATATGATCCTGTGCAGACAAAACAAATAGTGAGATCATTCAAAATCGTAGGGAGATAGATGTTAAAAACTTTTCCTAATCAAAAACAAAAGGTAACACGTCTTTTGGATTGTCTTGGCCTAAAAGGTGCTTATGTGATGTCAACCCAAATGTAAGACAAGCACAGGAATGCTGCTGAAAAAACTTATATATAGCTAATTTCACCAGTCACATAGTAAATGCTCCTGGAATTTTAAACTGTACCACTGTAAAGAGGAACAGCTGAAGAAGCTGTGTATATTTTCAGTTTGGAGAAAAGAAGGATATGAGGAGACATGACAGCCATGTTTACATATTTGAAAGGATGTTACATTGAGGAGGGGGCAAGGTTGATTTTTTGCTTCTCTGGAGACTAGGACACAGAGCAATTAATTTAGACTACAAGAAAGAAAAAAAAGATTCCTCTTAAACATTAGGAAGAACTTCCTGGTGGTAAGTTCTGTTCAGCAGTGGAATATGCTGCCTCGGAGCCTGGGGGAGTCTTCTTCTCTGAAGGCTTTTAAGCAGAATTTGGATGGTCATGTCAGAGGTCTTTTGAGTCTGTGTTCCCAAATGGCAGAATGGGGTTGGACTGAATGGCTCTTAACTCTTCCAGGCCTATGATTCCATGATTCTATAACTATGAGAGGGTGTGTGAGTTGCAAATTTGGGTGCAAGAGAATAAGAAGAGCAATTGTTGGGAAATTCTCTCTTACTCCTGCCCCCATTGCTGTTAGAGAAATAGGGAGTTTTATGTAGTAATATACATCCATCATTTTGAGACACAAACTCTCTCTTTCTGTATGGATTACACGGAGAATGAGCAATGGCAGAATGCATGTATGTGTATAAATTCAAAAATATATCCAAATTTAGACTGGGCAGTTCAGATGATGAAGCCTCAAGATTTAATTTAAACTCCTACACTGAGGTGCTATCATCCAGCAAATTCTTTCGGTTTAACCCAAAGGAAAGAAGATATAGTCACTTTACCATGGAAGGATAAGCCGATTTATTTCATGGAAAAACTCAACATAAAGTGCTTAGGGCTTATTCACTCAACAGATATACAGACAAGTAAAACTCCAGTCCTGAGCTGGAAGACTGCCACAGTGTGCATCCTCTCAAGCAAAGCATCTAATCATTTCAGAGGAAAGTTCCTCTAAAATGCAGCTTATAGAAGAACGTTATCATTTGATCTCAATTGCATGTCCATTCCTTTTTAGCAAAAATGCTTCAGTGCACAATTCTGTCATTCTTGCTGCTCTACCTCCTCCATCAGTCTCACCAATCTGCTGTCAAGATGACTTTTATGAGCAGCCAAACTCTTGTGAAACACATAATTTCAAGCAGGACATTACTAAAGGGATTTCTATTTATTACACACAAATCCATCTGTTATTTAATACTTCGAGCAAAAGGCATGTCCATTTTGGGATTATACCAGATACTAATGGGGGAAAAATTGAAAAAAGATAAATATTCAACATTGATTTATGTCAATATATCCTGGCACTTGGACTACTCAAAACATGCCCAGTAGCTCTCTATTTCATCTATCATCGGAACAGTCCCAGCACTGATGACGTAGTATGTGTGTCATCTGCTCCTGGCATCATGTTAAAGCACTGTTACTTCTCCTCGGATAGCCTTGGTCACCTTATAAAAGTGTCTGAATAGTAAGAAAGTTGCCCAGAGAGATTTTCTGTATGGGTCACTACCGTCCAGGGTCTAACCAGAGCACACTATGTACCAAATGCAAGAAG